ATGTTTAAAATACTAAAAACATGTAAAAGTATGTAAAAGTTTATGTATTATTATTAAAAGATGTGAAGTCACCTAGAATTTTTTTAAACTATTTTGGAAAGAAAACATGTTTAAAAATATTTAAATTTTATATTTTATGAAAGATGTTTTCTAAACTCTATTGTAAAGAAAATGCGTTTAAAAATATTTAAATTTAACATATATATATATATATATATATATATATATATATATACACGTGTATATGTATATATAGATATAATATGACATGATAAAATATTATATAAAAGTTTCAACAATATCATAAGCCTAAATAAAAACATTATAAATTTTGTAGAGAAAATTTACCACTTATATATAAAATAAATAATGAAATTATACCGAGAATTATGACGGTATTTCTTATTATTTTTTTATAAGTTGTTACCGTTAAAAAAAATTGTACGCAAAACAATTCCACGCTTTATGCAGATTTATTTTCGAACTTTGTAGACTCTTGTATTCGAACTTTGTTCGCTTGAGATTTAATATAGTGCCTTCTATCGTTTTGGGAAAAAAAAAATCAAGATTAATTTAGAATGTAACAAATAAAATGGAATTTTATATATAAGTGATATTAATACAAAAATTGAAGACAATATTTAAATCTGCATTTTTCTATTAACTTTTTATTATGTGCATTTAATATTTTTGGAAGAGAAATATGTGATAATCTTATTCTCGTTAAAAAAAATTATGCTACATAATTTTGTTAAATAAATATGTTAGAGTAGATACCTAAGAGATGAGATTTTTTAAATTTACCGAGAGATGGTATTCTGTAAGATTAACGTTAGATTTTTTAGGCTAGTATACATTAATGGTTTTTTTTTTAAAGTCTTTAATGTGTATGGAACCAAAAGTTGATATTTATGCGATGAGATTCTGTAAAATTACCTTGAGATTTTTTAGATGGATATACGGTAATGAGCTTTTTTTGTACGATCTTTAATGGTGTATGGAACAAAAGCCAATATTTTAGGCTTTTCAATTAATGATAGAAACTTATAAATACGATGAAGATATTATAAATATGATGAAGAGAATGTATGACGACAAAAAAAAACCTTACAGCTTGCGCAGGACATTCTGGGATAGAAGAATAAAATATATAGATTACAGCAGGAATAAAATATATTGTTTAATTTGGATGAGTTTTAAAGACTTTGAAGAAAGGAAAACTCTTACTTAGTTTGACTAAAGATGTCTCCTCAATTCACACGTGATTTGTTGTAAATATGGTATAAATAATATGTATTTAACTTATTTAAAAAAAATCATCTTTTAATAAAAAAATTATATATTTTAAAAAAAATCGAAAAAAATATGTATAACCGGTTGGAAGATTAAATTGTTATAGCTCTTTTTTAAATTGTTATAGCTCTTTTTTAAAAAAAATCTATCGTGATTTCACATTGTTTGGAAGATTCAACTTACTTAAAATCATAGTTGACGACATTATTTTTCAGATTTTTTGTAAGATAGAAATGTTGCATTAGAATGTATCCGATTGGACGATATTGTTTCATTTTGAACAGGAAGTCAATAAGAATTCCTATTTTAAACTCTTTGGCATAAATTTCGCAACAACAATTAAAGAGCTATAATTAAGGAAACTAAGTTGCAACTAATTTTGAAGCTATAATTACGGAACCAACAATTAAAGAGCCATATTTTTTTTCTTATTCACAACTACCCAAAAATTACTATATATAGGATATAATTAATGATTTGGCGGGAAAAACTTACTAAATTTCTAAAATGGTAAATCTTTTTATATATATATAGATTAAAGATTGGTCGATTTTTTTAATTAAAAAATACAAAATTTGTACGCAAGAAATGGTACTCAAATACTGTGGGGAAAATTACGTACATGTAGTCTAGTATATATATATTTACATATACACAACCATTGCAAACTTTAATCAATAAGGATTTTATTATGATTTTTATTGCATAATTACGAGATTTCAATTAAATACAATCTGATGAGTTACTCTCTTTCCATATCTCGATCATGGCAAGAATCACCCGACATCAACGCTAAAAAAAACGGAAGTCTGGAAACAACCACCGGCCGGCCAATCACCGTCGAAGATGGATCTCTACTGTGTCTGAGCCTGTTCTTCCTCAATTCACGACTCCTTCACAGCAGCCATGGAAGACTTCTCCGAACACCCTGACATTTAGCCTCCCCCCTCATTCCCCCATTTTGTTCGGCCTAATTCTATCTGCGAATCGATCGTCCTCGCCATGGATCTCGATTTATTTCACGGGAAAAATATAAACGATCGTGTTGTTCTGTGAAATTGATCGAGAAATATACGCTGAGAAAAAAATCGAAGGTATATTCATGTTTATGTTTTCTTTTTTTTTTTTTTGCTGATCAATTACAAATTTTTTGTGTTTTTTTTTTGTTTACTTCGTGATTTCATTGCGTAACTCCGTGTTGGTGTTTTTTATGTGGTGTTATATTACAATAGTGGTTTTTTGTTCTTAAT